CAGCAAGTAGATATCCACACAAGTGGACCTTGTTGGAGCATACGTAATCCTAAAATGTAGCATCGTGCTACAGATGGCGTTTACTGCGCCATTTGTAGTATTTTCTAAAACACACTGTTAAGACAGCAGGTAAAAGTTGGTCTGTGTTCTGTCGGAGCCGTCTGCGACGCGCTGATGAGGTCCAAAGAGATCGAAATCGCGATCCGCGTCTGGCAGCTTCGACAGAATACAGACGCGGTGAATGAGTGGTATATACATAATAACAGATATGTTTTTATATAAACAATATTTTCGATTATATATTTTCATAATTAAGCGAAACATCGGCAAGATCACTGAGACCAAAGCTACCAGTTCTGATCTCGCTCATATGCATCACGCTAATAGATCACATACCTATACTACCCCCGCTTCTGAACGTATGAGCAATTTATAACTAATTTGTAGTAAATTTGTAGCGAATAACTTAATTTTGTAGAGCTTGTTGGTTTTCGTTTTAGTCGACCTTAGGCTCTCCTTGGCATCATCAAAAGGTCATCAGTGTTAAGACTGGTTGGACACGTACCTCCACTCTTTCCTATCCTGAGCTAAACTTCGCATTTCCCTAAAACTAGAACAGCCCACATCCTTAACTATTTGCGAAGAGTAATCTAATCTAGGCCTGCCTCTACCCCTCCTAACTCCTGTTTCTGCCTCTAATATGTCTCTGACTAGACCTTCATGCCTGAGAAGGTGTCCTACCAACCTATCTAGCCTATTTTTTATTGTCTTCCATAGAGTCCTCTGCTCTCCTATTCTTTCCAATACATAATAAAAATAATGTAAATAACAAAATTTAAAATCATTGTAACAGTTATAGAGTTACTCATTGTCATTTAATTTGTCTACATTCTGTAAATCTTTTATATCATCATTAAATCTTGTTTTTAATAGAGTCTCTATAATTGACATTTGTTCATTCTTTCTTGACGATAACGAAAACGGTGAAGAATAAAATATAAGTTTTGGTGGAACTAATATATCAAACGTTTTCTCTGACATATCTTGGGTGTCATTATTGTCTCCTTGCTTTTTCTTATGTAACTTTTGAGTTACTTGTAAATGTTCATGAAGAAATCGAACAAATAGGGCACTGGTTAATTTAGCATTTACTCTTAAAACTATACTTCTAATTTTTGGCGAGTAACCAAAAGCCATAATAATCATTAAAAACTCGTGAAGTTCGTATATACGTATAATTGCATCAAAAGAAAGACGTAATAAATACGTGACAAAGCCTTGTTGATTTAAAAATTACAAGTTATTAGTATACATATGTAATTTAAATTATTTTCTCCATAACGCTTCATTCTTCACAATAAATTGGGATCATAGTTTTGACAACGATTACCTGTTTTAAGCTATCCAAAACAAATAGTGCATTTAAATTAATAAACACTTAAAAATCCCAAAATTCCACAAGAGGTTTATAAAAATAATCCTAGAACGCAAAGGATGGCACCTAGGGTATTGAAGATCGTTTTAATTTTATAGACCCTTTGTGACCTTTTGGGATTTTTGGGTGTTTATGTAGTGATGCTCTACAAAACTCCAATTGATTTTCTTGTAATATTTAAAAGAATGGTAGGTGTTTCCAATTAAGAAGATCCTAAGTTGTAAACACCCATACATCTTACCCAGCCGTGCTAAAACACCTGGTATTTTGAAGTTTATCTTTTAACTGTTTAGAATAAAAAAGACATGTATTGTATTGGTATTCTAAATATTATGAAGGGTCAAAATTTAAGCATAAAAGGTCAATATTTAAATTTAAGTGGTCGGACTATTAAGTAGTTAACAGAAAGACTAGAAATAAGATAGGTAACTTAATCTGAAGCAAATGGGTCTAACAACATCGGTAAATGTCTAGTTTAGCAGCCACACCTTCGATCATTTCGAATTATTAGTATGTTGTAGAGGCGATTATGTTGATCATTCTGATATGTTGCGCGCGGAAATGAAAATTAAGTATAATATAACGTTGAAAAATAATATGTTGGCACATGATATATATAAAATAGGCAATAATACGGCAGGCTATTTGGATATGTATATGCATTGGTGACGTCATTGTTTAGTTAACTGGAGCGTCTTAACGTCCCTGCCCCGGCTGATATGTAGGTATAATGTCTTCGAAAAATATGCTTCCTTATGATTTCCGCGTCCAACATTTATTTACATATGAAAAAGATCAGCATTACCTCTATAATATACTAAAAATTGAAGGTCATCGTATTTGCTGAAACAAAGATAACCTCTTGACATTATTCCAACATATCGGTCCGCTTCCGGCGGCCAGGAGCATACACAAAACTCCAGTCTAACCAAACAATGACGTCACCAATGCATTTACATTTCCTAACAGTCTGGCATATTATTGCCTATTTCATGTATCATATGCCACCATATATTGTTTTTTAAAGATCGAAAACTATGCTTCATTATCATTGTTTTTTGTTTTCGTGGAAGAGGGGAAATCTTCAAAAGACACCCAGCCGTCCGTACGACTGGGTAGTGGCGGATTTCCGAGGAAGGTGTCCTCGGACCTACCGACTAAAACCCCTCTACCCCAGGCCGTTGTAGGACCTATCGGTTCAGGTCCTCTTCAGCCGTGTTTTGTGTGTTAGGTCATTATCATTTCCGCACCTAACATATATATATCAAAGTGATCAGCATAATCACCTCTACAACATACTAAAAATTCAAGGTGATCGGAGGTGTGGCTTTATAGACAATTACTGACCGCGCATCAATTTTGGTATTGTCGGTTGTCTAGCGCAGTGCTTCCCAACCTTTTTTTCCTCGCCCGGGATGTTCAATAATAAATAGTGTACAATAAAAGTATTTTTAAATTTTCGAGGTTGATTTCGATGAACTTTTTCATAAGATTGATAATAAAAAATTGCTGACGGACAGATGCGCGACGGCATTTCAACTAAGTTCAATGTCTTAAAATTAAATCATTTAATTTAATAAAATTAGAACGACCGCTGCCCGTTAAAAAGTGAAAATGTGGTATCTCGGTCTCTACGATCTGTCGCAACTTTTTTTTTTTAATTGTAAAATTAAGTACAATTTAGTGCACTACGTTACAACACATTGTATATCTGAGAAAATATGGTTTTTAATTACATTTTCTTCATCATCATCATAAGGTCATCAGTCCTAAGACGGTTGGACACGTACCTCCACTCTTTCCTATCCTGAGCTAAACTTCGCATTTCCCTAAAACTAGAACAACNCATCATTATCCTGTGGGATAGTAAAACCTATTCCAAAAAGGATTTTGAAGTGGTACGTTTGTGCAGGAAGACAATAAAATATATGTATACCAGAATGAACAACTACCTATCTAATACTAAATTCTTTTAATTAAAAACAAATTTTACACAAAATTGTGACTTCTATATCAGTTTTTACTGATTAATTGAAACAAATACGACTTACCAGAGACACAATCAACAACAACAAGGGCACCATCAGTGACACGTAGTGCAGCTGTTACTTCTGATGAAAAGTCTACATGTCCAGGAGAATCTATTAAATTGATTAAGAAACCTTTTTCATCTTTTTCACGTTGGTCTACATTAGTAATGAACACTAAATCTTTATCATCAAGTTCAAAGTACATAGAAATGGCACTGTAACAATAAAGAAAATAATGAGGTGTCCTTTCACAAGCAAACTGGAAGGAATTTCCAGTTTAAATCAGTTGGCCGTTCTTATGTCATCAAAATCAATCAGAACAGGTCTGTGAATGAACAATCATCACTTAAAAACGCTATTATATTAAATAAGCAGATATCTTCAAATTAGTATTCAACAATTCAATGTAAAATTTAATTTAGAAAATCCAAAATGTTTAGTTGGAATTTTTCATAAAATTTTATTTGGTAAATAGTATACCCAAATACTATTGAAGAGCACCTAATTTTTACTATTTGATTAATCAATTTAAAAAACTACTTACGTTGATTTGATAGTGATGCAACGTTCCTGTTCATCTTTTCGTGTATCAGTAAATCTTGTTTCTCCTGCCTTAGCGCCTGCAATAATTCCAGCTTTTGATACCAAAGAGTCCGTTAATGTAGATTTGCCGTGGTCTACGTGTGCAATGACGGACATATTACGGATATTCCGTTTTTTGTCCATCATTGTACGAATTTCGTCTACAGTAAAATTCACCTAAAAATTAAATTAACAATTACGTTATTTCTAAAGAAACAGCAAGAATTTTAAGACTGCAAGCATTAAACTACATACCATTTTATTTAGTTATAGTTAAATAATACCGGTCTTTTTAATATACACAAAGTTCACTTATAATAAAACACTCAAGTTAAACTCCTTTTTGACTTTTTGCCTGTATGGCAAATATCTAAATAAATGAAACAGCTGCAGCGTTCATAATGTTGTGCAATTCATTCACACGTTGTCACGACAACATCGCTTAAATTAGTAAAATACTAGTGGAAGAACGTTTGGAAAACGATAATAAATAAAAATATTTTAATATTACATTAAAAATAAACTTACCATTTTGGATGTTTCTTGATAGTTCTAGCAAGGTCAAAATTAACAAAATCTAACAATGGCCTACTCCCCGTAAAAGAACGAGGACGGAACCACCTAAGTGAAAAGAAAAGAAGGAGAACGGTGAACACGATAGTATCACTGAACTTAATATAGAGGACAGCACGTATTAAAAATGTACGATGTATTCATTAAACTGAATTTTGTGTAATTTGCAAACTTTCAAATATATCTTAGATCACTTTAAGAACAGTTATACAATTTTAACTAGATTTCACCTCCACTTCGTCCGCATGAAATTATTTTCAATTGCTCATAATAAATAGAATTGTTATAACCAATAAATAGTTAAGGAGTAGCCTAGATCACTTCTGACAACTTCTGACTTCAATCATTATTACATGTGAAAAAAAGAATTATGATCATGAGTTACCGCGAATTTTCAGTTGTGAAACAAATGCTCATCAAATTCTCAATTAGAATTAATAATTGCTCAACCTATAAAATGAAGCGTTGTTAACTTATTTGCACAAAAGAAATTTCACAGTAAATTTTAATGAAACTGATTGGTATCACAAAATTGGTGAAGAGCTGTTTAATAATACTCAGCCGATATTTATGCAAAAAAATAAATAATAAATTTATAAAAATTTAAAATTAATAAAAGTAGTGAGGTGTAACGCCCTATGCCCTGGCCTGGTGTATCTATGGCCTGACCATAGTAGGTGAAATCATCAGTAGTCCAAGCGCCAACCGAACGCTTTGTGTCAGATCTTCATATTCGTTTGTGTGAAGTTGGCAAAAAAATTATTTTTTTTTACTTATTATATGCATTTGCATATTACAGATCTCATTCGTTGATGGTTTGTTGATGCAATTTTAATTATTTTATGTTTGTTAAGAATTAGTTTTTGATAAGTTTTATTTTAAAAATACACCACTCTCCTAATATATTTATTAACAACAATTAAAGAACATAATGAACTTAAACAAATAAAAATTAGCAACATAACTTTACAATTTATTTTATTTTTACATCTTTTGCAGTTGTCG